GGCGGAACCTCGCATTGCTTTGTCAAATCCGGCAGCTGCTGGGAGCGATGTCCGCTTTGCGATCTGCTGAGCGAAGGCGATTAAGATGCTGGCCTGGTCCTTTACAAAAATAAAACGTTCGCGGTGGGAGTTGCAGCATTCGCTGAAGTCACTCCGGTTGTCCCTAGAGCCGTATTTCCTTAAACTTGGCCTTCAGCTGCACCTGGGCGAGTTGAAGTTCAGCTTTACGCAGGGCTCCGCTGAACTGGGGAGCCAGCGGTCAGAAGGCCAAAAATCTGCTTTTCCACACCTGATTGAAGAGCCTAATTTTACACTGTTAGCACTTTCGTTCCTCCTCATATTTTTCTTTAAACTTTTTCATACCAGTTAGCCATTCACCTTTCACTCATGTTTCATTTAGGCATTGTAAAGTTAAAATTAATTTGGTTTATGATTAAAAACAAGTCATAAGACTTTTATCTTTTCCTTTTTTTTTATCACCTTCTAGTATATGCTATGAGTTTGTACTCAGGGCCATTCAGTGAAATCTCTTTGCTTACCTTGGTGGAATAATATGTAATAGACATGATGGACATATACAAATGGATAGCTAAGTTTCTTTGACCACTTTATTACTGCATCAAAATAATGGAGTCTGCTGAAACAGTTGACAGCGTTAGACTGCAGGACCCGGCCTATGCTTAAAATGTATTGCCCTTTTGTAATGTTTTTGGGTCTACTTGGGTGCCTCATTATTTATTCTTAATTTTCTTTTAATGGGACAGTTGTGATGTACCTACTAATGCCAGCAAATCTTTAGATTCCTATATAAGGTTCATTATGCCACAACAGCAGCTAATAAAGACAGGTTATAATATAGAACGCTTTGTTTCTCTTCTGTGATCGTAGAGCTTTCCACCTGTTAAGTCTTTCCCGTGTCTCTTCTTAAATACACCGTCATTTTGGCTATTTGGAGATGGAAAATAAATTTGGGGTTTTTTTTCATATCTGCAGGATACTTGCAAGGCAGTAATAGTTTGTATTGCTTGCCCAGGGAACCCTAGCTGACTGAAGGTGCCTTATGCTTTTCTTGAGCGTGAAAGCTATACAACAAATACCTTCTAATAACTGCTTGAGCAAACTGCCAAAAGAAGAAAACGAATGTGCAGACAAGCACTTCCTTTATTGAGAGTGTATTTCTGTGCTCTCCCTGGCTAGTGACATGCAGTTTGGCAAAGTAGTGTAAATACTTCTAAGAAATGTTTATTGGTGAAGTAATTCTTCATAAATAAACCTGCTTGAAATTATAAGAACATGTTTTAAGACATGAATTTCCTAATCATGGAATACAGAGCAGTATTCAGTCATGATGTGCTTGCTGCCAGAAATTTAAAGAAAGCCAGTGAGGGGAAGAAGCTTCCTAGCTAGTTATCTGGGGTCAGTTTGAGGAAGTAGGAAACAACATTTGACAGTTGTAGCTTTTTCTGCAGATAGAGAGTTTTGTTCGGAGGTGGTGGGATGTTCATTTCGAGTTAGCTCAGGTAAGAAAGTAGCTAATTTAAGAGCAGCAAAAAATCTTGGGTTTAGCAATAATAATTATGGAAGAAGATAGAGCTTTCAGATATAAATTTTTGAATGGTAATCAAAAAGAGTTGACTCGCTTTGCTCACTGGAGTAAGCCATGTTGTGAATTATGTTCCTGTTGTCTTCTCTAGTGGATCTAGTACATTTAAATTACCTTTGTTTAGTGAAAATGGTGTTCAAATACTGTCTTCTTGCATTGCTAAAGGAGCTCCTTTTTCACTCAAAGCTGAATTCAAATCCAAAGGTTTTTTGGGGTTGTTTTTTTTTTGTAGATTTTTAATACAACAAAATGCTAGAGCTAATAGGGTGAATACATATCTTTGAGTGCTATAACTACTTCAGTGCGTACATCCACCTGGCTACAGAAGAAGATGCCAAGCTAAGATTAAACTAGTTTAAACTCACGTAACTCAATGTTTAATCGCCTGTGTTAGCCTTTCTTTTGTGAATGAACAATATCAACAAAACAAAGCCCCAAGAAATGCCAGCAAATGTCACCCTTAGAGTTGCAAAGTCAACTTGAGTCAAAAAATGGTCCATTTGAAAGACTCCTCTGGTTGTATCGATGTGGTCCAGCTGATGGACCATGAGCCAAATTTGATGTGGAGAATACTTCCCTCTGACCTGCTGCCCCTTCCCAGGCAGAACCCAGAGTCCTTCTTCCAGGACTAGATGTAGCCCCAAGAGCTGAAGGCCACCAGCCTGCTCACGGTCCAGCCCAGAAACCCAGTGTTGCTGTGGCCACCGCTTCTGTGGTGCGGGAGGGGAGGCAGCAGCTGCCGGTTTTGACAGCTTTCACAAATGGTCACTTGCTCTGTATGGTGGTTTCTGAACGCTTACTTTATGGCCTGGTAAAAAGCAGTGTCAGACATGTAACAGCTACACATATGGTCAAATCTTTACTTTGAATCTACAAAATGTGTTACTCTTAATTTATTTTTTTTTTTATTATCTCATATTGGGCAACTCGTCCAACAGCTAGTCACTGTTTTGACTATTTGATTGGGTTTTTTCCTCATCTCCAAACTGTGGACAGTAAGAACAGTTTGTTATGTTTTGCAAAAGTAAATTATGAAGTGTTGGGATGACATAGTGATAAAAGCCCATGAGGTAAGGGGGTACATGTACCTCCCTTTTGCATGAGCAAAATATTATTGGCATAAAAATATATTGAATAATTGTTTGCTAGATTAGAGTTTTTCTGTTAATTGCTGAGGTGGATTATGGATTCTAAGTTTTAAATTCACCTTTTATAACCTATTAACCTTTTAGAGTGACTAGAAAGAGGATGCATATGGGTTTGACAGATGGAATACCTCATAACATTGGGGGTTTGGGGATTTGTATTTTTTTTCCTCCTTAAAATAGTCCTAAGTCACAGAATTTTCATACATGGATAATTGTAGCAGAGCACCACTGCTTGCTTGTTTTGGTGTTACAACAAGAAACTTTATGCAGAATTTATTGAATCTACTATCATCAATTTTGAGCAGAACTTTAAAGGCATAAGATCAGTCATCCCAGAGAGTAAGAGCTGAAATTTAATTACATTTTCTGTATCCCAAGGAAGAATATTTCAGCAGTCATGATACTGTACTCAGTTTGCAAAATCATTGCTCAGGGAGGGGAATTATTTTAAGGAACATGGTCTCTTTGTGGATGAGTTCTTTCTGCCACAGTATAACTCAAATTGAAAGCATTTACCTGAGTTTTTCTCCCAGACTGAATCAACTTGGTTTAGTTAAATATTTTATATTTTTAGAAACCAGCCAGAATTATTTTTTCAGTGAGTGAGAAAATGTTTCTGTGAAGAACAAAAAGGACAGATTTTGGTATCGTAACGCAACTGATGAATTTTATATTTATTTTCTCATATTCAAGGCTTATATGAATCCCATAGCTATGGCCAGAGCACGAGGTCCTGCCCAAAATTCAGGACCAACAATACAAGACTACTTGAACAGGCCAAGACCAACATGGTAAGTGGCAATGCTTGTCTGTCCTTCCGGCTTTCTGAGTAACAGATTTGTTCCCTCTTACTATGATGACACTGTTACCTACCTACTCCCCAGAATACCCATGAACACATTTTGAAAGATTCCTTGTCTCTATGAATTCAGTCTCATCTTTTTAAAACAATAGGGTTTCATTTTGAAAGACGTATTTCTCATTTGTCTTTAAATATTTTGGCAGCTTTCTCAGAAGAGGAAAATGTTGGTCATTTTACTTTCACAAATCCTAATACCTAAAGCCTGCAGATTTATTTAATTTTTAAACAAAGTAATCTCTAGAAAAACATTTTGCTGGTATATTCTTAGAATGCAGTTTACCCTACCTAATAAAATCATCACTTTGAGATATTATCAACAACTTACTTTACGTTCAGTCCATTTTGCCTCCTCTCATAAGACATTAGAGAACAATTTACCTAATTGCAAAGTTAGCTTTAGATCTTTCAGAGGGATTTAGCTACCATACTTAAGTTATTAGGGTTAGGTTACCATATGCATAACATCTAAGATACTTTCATTCTTCTTTCTGTTGGAAGTTCAGCCAAAGCTAAACTTCAAAAAACCCTATGAAAAGTTAGATGCTGAAGCAGGTATTTTTAATTTTGAAAATGATGATCTGTCATCATTTTTATGTAGGGAAGAAGTGAAAGAGCAACTAGAAAAGAAAAAGAAAGGATCCCGGGCTTTGGCTGAGTTTGAAGAAAAGATGAACGAGGTTGGTAATGTTATTAGTATGTTAATACTTGATTCTTCTTATATGCTACTTTTTCTCCATTTTCGTTAACAGTACCAAGTAGCCATAAGATTTCACTTCACTCAAGCTTTAGTGAATAAATTTTTTTTTTTAATTTGTATTCGATGTTAAGGTTACCCTGTAACCAATGAAGAGCTACGCTATATAAAAAGTTTTGAAAATGGCTGCTGAATAATGCTTGAACTTTTCATAAATGTAGATGTAGTTATAAAAATGCATATGTGTATATTAATAAATGAAACTCAGGCATTTTCCAGTATGATAAAGTCTGTTGTGCTAATCTTCACTTGTCTAAGGTCACACAATCCAAATATATCAGAAAGAGGTGTATTACTGGAAACAGACATCTTTGGCAAGGAATGTACATCTACTATTGGTACAGGAGAAGGCACAAAGATATACCAATAGGACTATAAAGTACTTCTTTCTCATCCCAAGCTGGTTACGTTCCATGCTGGTTCCCTACTGTAAATGCAGCTGTTCTGATGCTTGCGTTCAGTACCTACTGGACATCAGTACTATACAAGTTTCACACATAACTCCTGTTGTATACATAGGAAGAAATTAGTATATGATGAATTTAACTGTACCTTGTTGGGTTCTGGTATCTTGGGATAAGCTCCAAGCAGTAGTCTTCATCAATGTGTGCGAGTTTCTGGTTGAAATAGATTATGCTCCTCCTCTGTTACTGGAAGGGTGCAGTCCCTCTGCTCTTGCTGTACCTCTTTGCCTAAGAAGTTGTACCAGTATTTGGAGGGTCATGGGGTGCTATTCTGAAAGGATTGTTGTTCTGTGAGTTTTAGCTTGGTGAGTTGTGTTTAGTATTTTATCATATTCCTTTCCTGCTTTTGTCTTTGCTTTAGTATGAAGTAATTGAAGCTGGCATGGGTAGAAGATAACAGCCTTTCAGTATGGCAAAAGGGTAGGAAGGGATGCAGGGAATCATGAAATGGCCATGAGTTCTTCCTAAAGCTCCTAAGAACAAATCTCTGAATGGTTGAAAAGATTACAAGCCTCTGAATGAGGTGGTATCTCTCCTATTTTACTGACAGATGTTGTGCTTTTTTGTTTAAGACATAACACTAGCACAGTCTCAAAATTATAGAGAACACCTGCCTAATGAAGCACAGGCTGTTGTTAGATACCTGTCAGGTAGCTCTGGGTAGCTGGTGTATCAGAGTACACAACCTGCCGCAATACTGCGTAGATGCTTCCTTGGACGATGGAAACACATTATGCACAGCACTGTATCCTGCCTAATCTGCCATGTCTCTCAGCAGCACTGTTCTGCTAATTCACAGAATGCTGACTTAGGGATCTGTGTATCATACTGCATCGCACAGGTATAATCTTACTTAATTCCTGGTATCTCTGTCCTTTCAGCACAGCAGGTGGGTTATCGTTGCTTTGCCGATACAATACCAATATAGCTTCAATGTGAGGAAAGGGAGGGTCAAACAATACTAATAAAGAAGGCATCACATGATGTGTCTGGTGCAGGAATAGCGCAGATTGAAGCTTGCAGCCTTTCAGTCTGATAGGAACGGGTTGGATGTTTCAAGCTTCTGAAGGGGGGGATTTTAGGTAGACCTAGAAAGCTTGTGAGGGACTGAGAAGGAGGAATGAGAGGAGACTTTTATCTGTGCAGTGTGCTTGGCCTAACAAAAACAAGAGCGTTTCTATGAAGATGTTTCTAATAATTTAATACATTATTGACACCGACAAGGCCCAGAACAGACACTAGAGACACCCATACATTGAAGAAGGGCCAGGAGAATTTGTCTTGAAATTTTGCTATTTTGGCATAGTTTAAAAATCACCTGAAGCAAATTTTCTGGGAGGATGCCCTGGCTTTCTAAAGTGCTCTACCAAGGGCACTGTGATACAAAACCAGAAGTATCATAATTGGTGACCTTCAAGATAAATGACAGTCTCTTAGATCCAAACGACTTGACCATTAAGATGTGAACTAACATAGTATTTCGTTCAATATTAATCTTCTGTAAAATCAAATGCATTATAGCCTTGTTTAACATTATATGTTGTTTATTTTCTGTGGGTTTTGTGAAAACTATATAACGTGAGATAGAGGACAAGATTTTGAAAAAGGTCCCTTAAAGAAAACTGTTTGGAAATTATGCTCATGTCACTGTTTCTGTTTGGTTTTGTTTTCAGAACTGGAGGAAAGAACTGGAAAAACACAGGGAGAAATTACTGGGTGGAAACGAGAGTTCCTCCAAAAAGAAGGAGGTAAGTTATTTTCAATTTCATTCAATCTATGTTTGGAACTGGATTTATCATTGATGCTGCCAATAAAGAATGTCATAAATACCTTTTAAAAGCAAAGTACATACATCTAAATGCACAACAGAAGAACATGATGCCAAAGTAATATTTGTTTTATTCTATTTTTAAGAAAAAGAAAAAGGAAAAGAAGAAATCTAATAGGGTGAGCAAAATTTTCAGTTTTCTGATTTTTTTTTATTTTTTTTTTTTGCTTGGAGTTTGTTTCTATTTGTCATTTAAGCTGTCTTGGAAACAATATAGCTGTAACTTTGAATTTAGCTGTTAAATTGACTGATTTTTATTTGAGAGAGGTGGCTTACATTCTGTATAAGGAGAATTTTACTTCTGCTTAAGGGCAGGAAAAGAGTATTAAATATATATTATTAAATAAAAAGTGTTAGAAATCACTTTTTACAGTTTTATTTAAGAAAATCAATGTAAGACCAGCTTCTTGGAAGTAAAATTTCATTGATAATACTTTGCAAATGAAGAGATTTTAAAGGAAGTGTTTGGATAGACTTTTGACTATTTGCCAGACAAAATGCTGCATCTCACAAGCTTCACTTTTTGTTGTGTTTGGTCAAGTTGTCTTCATCTTCCTCTTCTTCATCAAGCTCTGATTCTTCCAGCAGTTCATCTGATTCAGAAGATGAGGTAAGAACTAATTTACTGGAATCTAACATGTTTTGTTCATGAGGCTTATTTCACAAAGATTTTGGTAATATATTTTAGAATATTGTTTGAGGGCTCAGTTTGCATAAAACTATTTAATTCTTATGCATTTGGTACATGTAATAAAGTTGTGAATTTTAGCTATCTATCTGTTCAAGAATTTCTTTATGAACAGTATAAACTTTGAATGGCTGGTTTGTAAACTGGATCTGTTTCTGTTTTAGCATTCAATTGCATGCTTTTTCAGTAGAATCCCCCATCTAATCATGAAAATACAGGCATACCATTTTTACTTTTTAGCAAAAATCTTTGTTACAGATAATCAGATTCTGCAGCACGCATCTAAATAATAAACAGAATCTAGAGAACCTGGATTTTTCACCAGTTTACATTTTTTCAATGCAGAAGAGTTATGAAGGTCCTCCACTAAAAGAATCAGTTGTAGTATACTTTATTCCTCAAGAGAACATGATAACATGTAGGAATTTGGTGTTTCCTATTCTTTACATTTAATGTAATTCTTTAATTCTAGTGAGAATAAATTCAAGGGTGTGTTTTTCTTTTCTCCTACAATATTTATGGGTAGGATAAAAAGCAAGGGAAGAAAAGAAGGAAAAAGAAGTATCGCTCCTCACGGAAATCTTCAACAAGCTCAACTTCTGAATCAGAGTCGGACAGCAAGGTAAATATGCCGATGTGTTACCCTTGGCAAGTGTTCTTGATCTGTGTCATAGACACAAACATTTCTGACTTTTGTATATTGATATCTTTTTATCTTCCCCATTTAAGGCCATGCATTCTTATTGTAGCTGAGCTGCACTCAGATGCAATCTTCAGATGCAATCTGGAATCTACCTCCACTGGCCACACCTGGCAGAAATAATTTGATCCTTAGATGAACGTGCTTTATTCCAGCAATTTCTAGCTATTTTTCTGAATTCAGACATAAGCAGCTTTTGTGCTGCTCAAATGTTTAGTTTTAATACTACATTAACACTTAAAAAAATAAATGTTCTGTGAAATTCTTGTAAATATGCTATTTAATTGAACACCATCTGGTGAAAATACAGACATTACTGGGTATCACTGGCCAGAATATTGCCTTTCTAAATATGCGTGGACTGTTTTCCCGTTGGAGAACTAAGCCTTTCCCAAATGCATATAAAATTGAGGGTGTCTTTTTTTTTTTTTTCTTTTTCTGAAAGTAGAGCAATGTACATACACAGGCTTACTGAATGAACAAAAAAGTGGAGAAGATACATGAGGCATTTTGTTCTGTTGCGTTAGCATTTTTCTGTGTTACAGTGAATAGTAACTGTACTTCTTGTCTAAATATTAATAATATAGCGAGTTGTTACGATTCTCCGTGTAGACTTTATCACAGGCTTTCACCAGAATACCTAATTCAGTGCGGTATAAATTGTGATGAATCACTGTTTGCTACACCTATGAATTTGTGCTAATGGGAGTTTGAAAACATATGCTACATAAAGGGACAGAGAGATACCCTTACTGCTGAAATTGGAAGGCACAAAACTCTGTGGAAATACCAGCTTAACCCCTGCCTGATAGCGGAGGCGGGCATGGATAGAGAATAAAGACTCCAGACTATTAGATGTTAGACACGTGTTGTATGTGGTTACCTGATTCCATGCAGACCTTTTCACTCTGCTAGTTCAGGAAATTAGCAGCTGCGTGAAAATTATGGCTTTTTCATATTTTTCCTGTTAACTGCAAGGTAGGAAGAACAACTTGGAAGAATGACCTTCAACAGACAGAAAAAGACAATGGGTCGGACAGCTTTGGGGATTTCTATCTTTTTCCTGAAATAATTTTGTCATGGTTTATCTTTTTTTTTTCTATTTAGGACAGCACAAAAAAGAAAAGGTCAAAGGAAGATTATGAAAAAGAGAAGGTATTCTTACTCTTGAAATACTTGCATCAGAACTGCATTTTACATATATAATGGACTTCTCTTTTTTTTCTTTTTTTTTTTTAATATTGAATTCCTCTATTTACATTTATAGAAGTTTTCTGTCCAAAATTACACAGTCAGAAGGTACTCAGTACCCACAATTTGAGGTAGACTTTTAGGTTAGTCTGGTTTAGTAATTGTTGTTCGTGGAAACTGCTGGATCTGTTCTTGTTATGAAGGTAAATGAAAAAAGTGTCTAATTTGCTGTAGTAGGTCAGCTGCATTCTAGTATTTTGGGGTTTATCTTGAGCAGTCGCATTGAGCACAAAATATGTCTGATGATATTTCAGTGGCGTGCCTGGTAGGATAGTGGCTTGTTGCTGTAAATTAAGGAACAACAAGCAGAGGATATGTTTATCTAAATATAGTCATAATTCTAGATATTGTACTTATGATGGCTTTGGAAAATTCCAGAGAAAAATGTATTAGCTTATGAAAAATTACCTTATTCTGTCTCTTCTCTGAGCATGAAAACCCTCTCTCCTTCCCACCACCTCACCATTTTGTACACACATCTGAGGACTTCCTTCCTTCTGTTATGTTTAATGCAAATAATCTGGTTCACTTAAATTTTAGTTATTTCTACCTGATGTGTAAAGTAACAATGCTTTGAAGATTCCAGCCTAGTCTTTCTGTCCAGTTACCTTTCTTGCCACATCGGCCTGTACTACTACAGTCAACAGTATTGACTTTGATGTACGAATTCTCCATTGCGTAAGGCAAATGTGTTGATTCCCCCCCCCCCAACTTGGTCCTGCTTCCATTTCAGAGTTTCCATTTCCCACCAACTCCTTTTACCTTTGAGTAGCTTCTCTTCAAAGACCAAGTGTCTACCATAGCCCCTTATTTTTGGTTAAGCTGTGATGCTACTTTTACACATTTTCTGAAAGCAAAGGGCATTTGAGGACTAGAGGTCTTCCCCTGACTGAAAATGCCCTATCTCTGAAAGGGGCTGCATGATGCATACTTTTCACAGGTACTTTTGGGAAAGGCTTGAGGTACCTATAATAGACTAAGTAGCACAGCTGAGATGTGTGATCCCACCTTGCAAGAAGATGATTAGGAAGATGATTTCTGTTTCTGGCCTTAGAAATTGAATGGAAGAAAATAGCTTCAGTCTTAGGCACACTTTGCAGAGGGAGTCCAGAGCAGAGGGAGTGGGGTGGGGCGAAGGAGAACAATCTCATGCAGCATCAAAAATAAAAAAAAATTAAAAATTTATTAAAAAAAAAAAAAGACTGTCCTTTACATATACTGAGATTATATATAAAGTGTTGAAGTGCAGCTGGCAGGGACAGCTTGTCCTGGTTGGATACAAATACAGAGGGAGCTTTTTCTTTTAATTTCATCAACAAAGCAAGAGTCTGAAGCTGCAGTGCTCATATGTGCATATTGAGACATCTCCATCTACTCAGTAGTATTTAAAAATGGTGAAACATTTTATTTTCAAATGCTTACTCCATGTGTTATTACTTAAAATAAGAGACTACACTGTGTATTATTCCTCTCACTTTTAGAAGGCTGCTGTATCTTGGTAACGAGAAAGGAATATACAGAAAAAGATTATTTCCACTAAAAGCATTTTAACAGTTGGTAGGGTAATTTGTTGATGATGAGTAATTAGTTTAATGTCAATAATATTTAAAAATATTTCACAACTTAGAAATAATATTTCAATCTAAGTTTTAAGCAGAAGTTTTATAAAATTTGAAAGGCTTGACTTTACTCACAAATATATTACTTTGTGTAGGAAGGCAAAAATCACCACAGGAAAAGGAAGAAAGCCAGTCGTGCTGATGGACCTTTATCATCAGAATCCTTATCAGAATCGGATCAGACAGAGGAGGTCAGTTTTCATAATGCTCAATTTCAGAATTCGTAATGCTTTTAGCTTACTGATTCACATGAGTGAATGAATGAACTAGCTTTGACTTAATATATAGTTGAAACTGTTCTGCTTTGTACAGTTGAGTGCACTACATTCGAAGTTGTTTGTATTTTTCTCTTTAATAAAACCTTTCAGTAAGAATTGTTTAGTACAGCTCCTATCACCTGCAAGTCACTTTCAATTAATTTGCTTGAAAATTTTCAACTTTTTATGGATATTTTAGAGCTCAGTGAAATGAGACTAAGTGATGGGTATGGTGTCCTTCACAAGATCTCAGATGTTTGTGAATAGATTGGCAGATTTCAAGAGGGCTAAAATTTTTTGCTCCTTGTTCCTGTGAATTATAAAATTTTGTATGTAATAATCTTATCCTTGTGTATGTCTACTTTGAGGATTTGTACTTTTGTAGGATTGCAAAATTTGGGAAGGTTCCAATGTGCTGCCGTTTTTCATTAAGAATTTTTACCATATTATTGGCTTAGTAATTTTACCTTCATATCTCTGCTGTTTCTTGTTCTGCTGTTTACTAAAGTGTGTTCGCAAATCGGATATTGATAGGGTAATGTATATTCTAGAATATGACACACATCAGCAGTGTTTCTTCATGGGTTATTGTTCAGTAACAATACCCGTGACACCACTGTTGTGCTATCATTCATTTATGTGTAATAAAAGCTCAGACTTTTATTTAAAACAGCACTTGCACAGCTGCTCTCCCATTACATTCAATTTAAATTATTTTTTTTTAGGTGCAAGCGAAAAAGAAGAAAAACAACGAGGAAAAAGAGAAAACAGCAAGTATCCTTCTTTACTCATACTGTAGTTTTAGAATATCAATAATCTGTACTTGGTTAATTTCCAATTTCACATTTTTCAGTAATACAAATGTTTTGTAGGAAAAGTCTACTGTCACATGTATCTAAATTAACAATTTTGCTATTTACCTTCTGAAGTCACTTTTTCAATCCTTGAATTAAAGGAAGAATTTGTCACTATTTTACCTATATAGATATCTATGATTTGAGATTTATAGAAACTTAATGCTTATTGTAGCACATATTTTACTCTGTATCAACCTACTAGAACTACTATCATCTGTGTAGTATTGGGTAGGATCGCAGTTTGCTACACAGACGTTATTGCTGTTCCTTTGTTAGTGTTGTGTATAATTCTTCCTTGGTAAGCCCCCTCTACCAGACCATGAAAAGGGTCTTGGGATATAACCGCTGCAACATCTATACTACTATATTTTTTCCCCCAACCAAATAAAAAGCTGTCAGCAACCTGTTACTTTTCTCAGTGTTGTTGATTTATTTCTGTTGGTGAAAGTGAGAGGAAGGTTCAGCAATGATTTATATAGAACCCAGATTCATCAGATGTACCTGAGGCTCCTCAGTTAGGAGCATAGTGGTTTTGAGATCCAAAATGCCCACTCGAGATGTCTAGGTATCTTTCTATCTCCCCTGTCAGCAAGTGTTCCTAATTAGATGTCTCAGTTGTCTAGATGAGTTAGGGCAAGGGGAAGGCTTAGATTAGTCACCTAAAAATGCAAGCATAGGAGTATCGGCAATACTCAATACACATTTTCCATGGAACTTGTTTCTTTTTTCATAATCATATAAGCTGTTTGCCATAAAATCTCTAATCACTGATCGTGGGGTTTTTTTCTTAGATGAATTGTATGTATACGTAGTATGTATAAAACAAAGCTTTTATACTGAGATTGGTTTGTTTATGTAATGTCGCACCTATTCAAGAATTCCAGTTTAAATTCTGCTTGTAAAAAGGCAAGATTGTATCTCTCAGCTTCTGTATTACAGTGATCACGATAATAACTTTGGGACTATGTTAATAGAGTGTATTCATATTTACAACTGAGATCCTAATTGTTTTATCTTAAACAAGGTGCAAGTGCTGGAGATTCTAGCCAGGTGTAGTTGAACTATTTAATTTTGCACAGTAAATATAAGCACTTACTTCAAAATCTGTAAACATCCTAGTTATTCCCAACTATATAAGATGTCACTGCTTGTCATAGCACTTCCTTAGTATGTTCTCGGAAACCTATAAAGCATTGAAAATCATTTAAAAGATTAGGAAATGTAATAGTGACAATGATGAGAGGTGTGAAATAGCCAGACCGTGATGGAGATAAATTGAAGCGTGCTTATAATATTGCAAATTACTGGGTAAAATACAAATTTTCTTTTTGTAATTTCTCAATAGGCTTTCATAGAAATCTCTTTCAAAATGTCTTTGTAAAGATATCCTTTCCGTGCTCTCATTTTTGCATTTGCAGAATTTAATAGATGGCAATCTTCTCATACAATAACTTCCATTTAATTTTATTAATTTTTTTTTAGGATAAAACAAAAAAGAGAAAGAAGCACAAGAAACATGGTAAAAAGAAGAAAAAGAAGATTGCTGGCTCAAATTCAGATTCGGAATAATATTAAAAAAACCCCACAAGACTATCAACAGAAGTGCAATGACTAAAGGAAACTTAAACTGTGAAATGACAGCAAACTTTACCAAACTGCATGAGTTTTCCTGTGTTTTAGAAATACTCCCAATCTTTCAGTAGCCAGCCAGATGCAGCTGTGCTGGGAAAGACCATTGTTATTGCCTGCTGCTTAATACATGAGGTACAACTTTTATAAAATTCCAGTAAGCAGTGTTAGATGTTTGAAACAATATGAGATGGTAGTCCAGCTGAGGTGTAAAATATTGGAAAATAAGAGTTAAACTTTTTAGATAGTAAAGGTAGTCTTTTAAAGCATTAGTAATAGTCTTTATTTGTAAATCAGGACAAATAAAATCCCAAGTTCATCCTGCAGGTTAATATTATACACCAGCTTGTAATATTTTATGTCTGCTAATGGCATTTACAAAATAAGAAATTAATGATAACATTTAAAATGCTGCCTTTGTAGAAATGTTTATCATCTGCCCCATTACCGTCTTCATGCTTATGAGAAAGGGAATGCTACCATTTTGGCTAATTGAACAGGGTGCCTTTGCCTTTGATTCTTGCAAATCTCTGCTATTTTTAATCTGTGCAGCATCTCTGATTCCAGGGAAGCCAGAACTATTGTCCACAGGCTTTTTCTGAATAAGCAGTTCGGGGCTTCTAAGCATGTGCTTCTGCATTAAGCAAGAGCAATGACATTTTGCAGTATAACTGACATTCAAAACCTGAAGATTTTACCTCTGAAATAGCGATAGATCTTTGCTAGTAAATACGCGTATTTCATTTAATGTAATTCTGGTTTAGTTGAACACTTCTTGCAAACACTGGTAGCTTTCTTTGTGTTATCTTTAGAATTGTTTTGCATGATTTGTACCATTTTTAAATTAACAAAATGCAGGTAATCATTTGTTGTAACCAGTTCTATGAATTATGTTCCACATGCAGAGTTTCATGTATGTATTTAGTTATTCTTATAGTTAAGTTCATTGCTGTGTTTAAGTGCAGACTTGCTGAAGATATTTAGCATGTAAAAAGCAGGGTTTTGATACCTTAACAGCTTCATATTGAAGCTGATTTTACTCTAGGCAAGTTCAGTGGCAGACCTGTTACGTGATGTGTCTTGTTAGATAAAAAAAACTACTGCCAGAATCTCATTAAAGATACTGTTTAAACAGTTTGTATTTATATTTTTGTACTTGAGGGCTACAGAATGTTGACCTACATCATAACGCTGTTGTACTTTAAATTAGTTGCTTTACAAATTGAAAAAAAAAAAACCTTTTATAAATTAAATGTGCACACAAGAAAACACAAGCAACCATTCAATATTAATTTTTATGTGACATTCTCATTATATCTTCCATTGAAGTACCCATTGCTGGGCCTCCTGTGAGCCTTTAACACTGCCCATCCATCCCGAGTGGTCAACAACTATAGACTGTACTCTTGATCCACCCCCTTTTTCATTGCACGGGTGCTAACTTAGAACTTACCTCTGTTGCATACAGATGTTCCAAATATTGTATTGCCAAGAATTTCAAGATCTTTAAGACCCTATTAGTCTGCAAACTGTACCTAAAAACTGGGATAGAAAGATGATTTCATATTGCCATTCTACAGAGAAATTGACTTTTCAAGTTAAGTTCTTGGGGGGGGAAAAACAGCCACTGAGTTGCAGCAATATCCCTCTTAGTCCAAAATATTTGATCAAAATATTTTTACTGTTGGGCTTGATGTTGCCGATTCTAGATGCTGTTTTGTCAGTGAGGTTAAAATAAACGCAAGATACAGTGAACATTAGGGATTTGGTTTGGGGGTTGTGTTTGGTTTTGTTGGCATTATTTTCTTTTCAAGTTGTGGTGTTGCAGTTTTGGTAAAATAACTTGTAATGAACCATAGCATAAATGCTCTGTCCTGTGTGATACCTTATTTGATTTTTATACAACTACCTGCAGCAGAAGGAAATAAAAATGGAAATGAGAGCCCCAGTCTTCCAAATACATAAGCCGGTATGTCATTTTAATTGTCTGAATACAGCTGTTTTTACAGCAGGTCACCTGTGTGCTTTATGTGCTGCCGTCATGCTTTGGAAGTGGTGTAGCTGCTCGAGGGCTTACGGGCTTTGACAGTTCACAGCAAAGCTGCTGTAATACCCACAGTGAAATGTTTCTGTTTTCAATAGATTAACAAGTAAGTCGCGACTCCTCTTGCATCCTCTTTTTCCTGAGGGAAGGAAGGGGCATTTCCCCGGGTGTGCAGGCCCAGTTCCTGAGGGAGCTATGGGGGATTTGGGCGTCACCAGGCAAACCACAGGTGCTAAAATCCATGTTTAGACAGTGGGACAAAGCCGAAAATAAGCAGTGCAGGGATAAAAGTATTTTGATATTTTTTTGTCTTCAGACAGCAGATGAACAAACAGTATTATTGTATGTAGTATTTAATTTTTAGCTCTTCTTTCCAGAAACATTTTTAAAAGTGTGACATTCAGTTACTTTCTTTTCTACGACTGCTGTGTTGTTTTGTGGGGTTTTTTTTTAATGTATGATAAAAATTCCTTTTGTTACGCCTCTATGCCCGTGTTTACGTACGAGCCGCCAGTGTCACCAAGCAGCACCCCCGGCCGGGCCCGCCCGCGTTGCCAGGGCAGCGGCGGCGGGGGGGGGCGGGGCGGGCCCCCC